GGCCCAAGTTCAAACCAGAGACCTCCCTGAATAACCCCGACATGTGTGTGCCCATGATTGGGGCTGACTGAGGCTGGGTGTGGGTACAGACTGAAGACCTTGCTGGGGGTGCTGTCTCTCTATCTCTCTTGTCTCTCTATCTCTTTTGCTCAAGGTGACTCTCCCGTGCCTGAGGCTTTATGTCCCTTGGCTCTCTTTCTCTGTCTACATGTGCCTGTTGTATTGATGAGGAAATGGAGAATTTAGTGATGTGAGGCCCTTTGCCTCAGGACGTAGCACTGGCGAGGGATTGAACAAGCCAGGCAGGGACATGTAAGGTGAGCATTGCACTTAGATTCCAGGGCACTTAGGGCCCTGGAATTTTCCAGCAGCACTTCAGAAGTTCCCTCCATTGCACCCACCGCAGATCCCGGCCCCCCATACATGATTGCAGCTTGAGGCCAGACAGTGGTCTCAAGCCACAGCAGCATCACAACCGGACCCACATGGGAAAGTCTCAGGGTCGTATCCCAGAGCCTCCCTCTGCATGCCAGGCACGTGTGCCGGTGCCCATGATCCAGGCCGGCCGAGATGGAGATCGTGGGGTAGAGACCCTATTTGAGATGCTTCTCTCTGTCTCTCTTTCATCGAAGAAATAAATAAACCTTTTTTAAAAATGCACGGCAGAGGACCTATCCCATTAGGTGGAAAACAATGCCCCCCACCAAAACTGGCTGGAGCTCGAATGAAGCCCCTCCAGATCCATCTGGCAAATATCCTTTCTTTCTTTGCTCTTAGACATGCAGCCATGGGTCTGGCAGGTGGCATGAAGGGTAAGGCAGCTGGATCCCACATGGCCAACTGCAAGGTTCGAATTCCAGACTCAGGAGCTTGAAAATCACACTGGGCACATGTGCATGTGTGTCCAAAATCCTGAGAGGAGAATGGAGGAGAAGGGATTGCGGCGTGGCCATCCCCCCAGGGGTGATTCCTTACTTTCCTTCTCTCTATATATCTATCTCTGTCTCTGGTGAGCATACGTGCCCTGTAACAAAAACTTAAAAAAAAAAAAGAAAAAAGAAATGTCAGCCATGGGGCCAACTCTGTTGTTCAGTAGTAGCCCTGATCAAGTGATGCTGGATCCATAGGGAAAACCATGAGTTCTGTCCCTAGTCGGAGTCGGCCTGTCTGTGTGAAATGCACACCCATGATCCTGACTGGCTGGGGCGATTGTGGTGTAAGGTCTTGTTGAGGGCGCTTCACTGTCTCTGTCCCTCTGTCCCTCACTCATAAAAGAAATAAGGGATCTTACAGAAAAGTCAGCATCCCTGCCTCCAGCACCTCCGCTGGCTGGCCTCCTGATAGAGAAGGGCGGGTGACTGCAGCCCTAGCAGAATGGACCCCAGACTGAGGCCCAGGCCCTGCCATTTCTGGAATTCTGACAGTTACAGAATCAGCTACTCTGGGCCTCGATATCTGCAGGTGTAGACTGGGAATGATGCCGCCCGGCCTACTTGCCTTGCGAGCATTTCTAAAATTCATGGGGAATGTGTTTGTAGAAATTCAGAATAACACAAGAAAATGTCAGTGGACAACAAAATGACCTTCTGGAAACCAGCTGGTCACCCATACTTTCCCTGTCTGGAGCATCCAGTCCCTGGACTGCTGGACACTGGAATCCCAGGTGGGGAGCCTTCCTCCACTGGCTGTGCTAGGGTAGCTCTAGATGGGGCTGTAGGGCCCAGGGCCTTCCAGCCAGGACAGTGCTCAGTGTGTGGAACCTGTTTTCCCTGCCCACCCTCCCCAGAGTGGCGTGGGGACAGCCCCCAAGTGGGGACATCATTGTGCAGGGGCAGTACCTCATCTGTGCAGGGGCCAAGCCAGGAGCAGGGGCTCACAGTTGAAGAAGGCAGAAATGCGTTTTGCTTGAGAGGAGGGAGAAAGTGGCCCTGCGTTCTCTGCAGAAGGTCTGCAGTGTAGCCCCACCTGCCAGGGGAGACACTTCCTATCTCCTTACCTCTCTAAGGCAGGTGACTCCAGGCAAGCTCCCACCAGCTGAGCTGGTGAGAAATTCAAACTGTGTGTGTGGGGACGGGGGCTGCCTTTTCCCTGGCATTATATAAGAAACTTGGGGGCCCAGCTGTGGTGTTGCAGGTGCTGCTGCATGATACGGGAGCCATATGGGAGAGCCCCGGGTTCAGATCCCAGGTTAACCTGAACATACTGTGCATTCCCATGATCCAATCTGGTTGGAAGGCTGGGGTGGACTGTGGTATGAGACCCTTTTGGGGGTACCTGTCTCTCTCTGTCGAAGGAAGAAAGGAAGAAAAGAGAGGGGAAAGGAACAAGAAAGAAAACGTTTTTAAAAATCTTGGACCATCCAGGTGGCATGGTGGTTAAGATGATTGGATCACACATGCCAGAGTGCCCAGACCTGGGCTTGGACAATACACTGGGTTCATACACAAGCATGCCCCAAATCCCAAGAGAATGGAGTAGTAGAGAGGATTGTGGCAGGGCTATCACCCCAGGGGTGGTTTCTTATGTTCCCACTCTCTATCTTAGTTGCGCGCACATGCCCTATAGCAAAAACTAAAAACAAAAAGAAAAAACATAGGGACAAGCCAGCAGATGGTGTGGAGATTAAAATGCAGAATTTCATATGGCTTGACTCTGTGCTTCAAGTCCTGGACCTGGCAGCCTGAAAAACATGCCAAGTGCATGTATGTACATGACCAAAATCTCAAGAGGAGAATGGAGGAGAAGGGATTGCAACATGGTCATCCTCCCTGGGGGGTGATTTTTTACTTTCCTTCTCACTGTCTGTGGTGAGTACACGTGCCCTGTTGCAAAAATCTAAAAATAAATACATAAATCTTAGGGAGAATCCTATACAGCCCAGAACTTCTGCAGTAGCATTCTTGGGTCAGTCCACACTGGTCACTGCTCTTTTTTTTTTTTGGAGAGGGTTTTGCTATAGGGCACGTGCACTTGCCAGACAGACGGAGAGAGACAGTCAGAAAGCGAGAAATCACCCCCCAGGGGGGATGGCCACACCACAATCCCTTCTCCGTTCTCCTCTTGGGATCTTGGGCACGCACACACACGTGCCCGGCGTGAGTTTTAAGCCACCAGGTCCAGGACGCGAACTGCAGTCGACTATGTGGGAGTCCAGTGACATAGCCATTACGCTTACTGCTGGTCCCTGGTGACTGCTCTTAACAAGCCTATGGGGGCTCTTACTGGTGGGTAGAGGTCTCTGCCGAGGCCTCAGAGCTGGGCCTCACAGTGTATGGTGGCCCCTGTAAGGAAGAAAAGTTGTATCTTTTCCTCCCATATTATAAAGTCTGTGGCTGAGACACTTATAATAAAAGATTAACAAGGAAAAAGCATACAGATTTATGTAAATAAGGTTTACGTGTCACAGATGCCTTCAGAAATACAGATCCGGGCCAGTCTGTGACATGGTGGTTAAGGTGGCTGGATCCCATGTAACTGTGCAGTTCAAACCTTGGACTCAGTGACTTGAGAAACACACTGGGTGTGTGTGTGTGTGTGTGTGTCTGTCTGTGTGTGTGTGTGTAGGCCCAACATCCCAAAGGGAGGGAGAGATGGAGAGGAGGGGACTGCAGTGTGACCTTGACCTGTGGAGGTCATTTCTCATTTTCTCTTGTGAGTACATGCGCCCTCTTCAGTAGGGGAAATGCAGACCCAAAGAAACAGGGAGATCTATGTACTTTGATGGGCAGATGTGCAGAAGTGTGATTGGAGGACAGAAGGGAATGATCTTATGGTAATAAGCAGTGAGGGAATGTGGAGAGTGGCCAATCTGAGGAAACATGGTGACCTTTAGACACATGCAGGGAGAATGGTCCTGAATTGTCATTTGCATGGTGATGAGGGCAATTTGCATGTGAATACACTAGCTGCCTGTTACTGAAACTGCAGAGCAGTATAGGTCTAAAGGAAGTCACATGTGTTTTAATCAGAACTGGCCCCAAAAGATCAGACACCAGTTGTCTTCTCATCTTCAGCTGATTAACATCCCCAAACGACTGGCTTTGCATTCCATTTCCTCTTCCCCCGTTTTCTCCCCTTTAAAAGAGCAAACCTGGGCCCAGTTTCAGAGTCACAACTTTCTCCATCAGAAAAGTTGGGCCCACCCTATCCTCACTTTTCTATACTTGTATGTCTTTGTGTGTTTATTTTTATGTTTATTTCTAATTCACAGCTCCCACCACTCAAAAACACGTTCTGCCAACCAGGTCCCAGCAGGGAAACTTAGCAAAACCTGTTTGTTTAATCTTTTGCATTCTCAGTGTTTTTGAGGATAAAGACAATCTTTTCCTCTAAATATAGAGAAGACCCCTCTTGCACGAGGATCTGTGCCCTACTTTAGAGGCAGGTCAGAGACTTCTTTTATGGCCTGCTTCAGGGGAGAATGGCAAGAGAAGTCAGAGAGACCTTCTTGCTTCTGCTGTTTCTCAGATGCTAATGTGTAGTAGTTTGGGGTAGCATGTCTTGAACCCTGTCTGTTATCCCCAGACCCTTGTCCTCCAGACCTGTGTTACCTCTCCTCCAATGGTTCTGCCACCACTCCCACCCCACTCAAGGTTCTCACCTCCATCGCACTCCCCTTCCATCAAGAGGACCCACTTACTGCCCTTCCAGAGGGAGCTCTGGTCGGGGTTTCTTCTTGGTATCTGCGGCTTCTCCTTTCAACCCCGCAGCTCAGAAGTCCCCAGGGCAAATTGACACCAATCTGGGACATCTACAGATGGCATCAGAAAGGCAAAAGTGGCAATGGGGGGTTATCCTAGGAGAGGTTCATAAGCTGGAACCAGCACAAACTGCAAAGCCTACAGATGCTTGTGCCTCCTCTTCCTCAGCTTACAGGGAAGTTCTGGAGCTGCTTCTTTGCCAGGGGGCTGTGCCCACATCTCCTGAAGAGGCTGGCATGTTGGCTTGGGCTCAAAGGTTAGGTGGGTTGGCCACTCCTGACCTCTGGGCACCCTCTGCTCTTGCAGGACCTGGGCATGGAGTCGACCTCGCTGGATGATGTTCTCTATCGCTATGCCAGCTTCCGGAACCTGGTGGACCCCATCACCCATGACCTCATCATCAGTCTGGCCCGCTACATCCACTGCCCTAAGCCGGTAGGATGACTGTCTGAGCTAGTGGGCCTGGGCGGTGGGTGGACACCTGTTTGGCTCAGTGCTTAAGGAGGGTTGGCTTATGCGGCCAGGCCCAAGGAGGACCAGCCCCTCTGGTGGGCATGGAGAGGAGAGTATGGGCCTGAGCCATCAATTCAGATAGGTTCTGTTTAGCCAGTGAACTCATTGCGAGCATTTAAAAATGAGAATTGGAGGGGACCAGCAGATGGCGTAATGGCTCTGTCGCTGGACTCCCATGTAGTTGACCATGATTAGACTCCCAGACCTGGTGGCTTAAACTCACAGCGGGAATGTGTGCATATGTGCCCAAGATCCCAAGAGGAAAATGGAGGATAAGGAATTACAGTGTAGCCATCCCCCCTGGGGGTGATTTCTCTCTTTCTGTCTCTCTCTGTCTTTCTGGTGA